TAATAGGTTATGTAATATAATTTAATTTTTAATTTAACAAAATAAAACTTGCTTTAAATTTAGACTGCTTTAAATTTATTTCTGGTAACTTCAGATCACGTTGAATTTATAAGCATATTTTTAAACCCACTTCAACTTGGATTGAAAGTTGTTTCGGAATGTGCGTAAGCATAAGAATAAAAGAAGCCCAAAAGGCAAATTTACCCGATTCCGATTCTAATTTCAACTATATAGTCCGTTTTTAGTTAGCACTACGTACATATGTACTTATGTATTCTTTAACCACTTCCTAATTAAGCAAGTAACATAAAATTCACATCAAAATCGATCTTGATCTGTATCATACCTAAAAAAGGTTAATTATGTAATCGAAATAATCAATGTAGCACACTATCATTTGGATTCACCTGATTTAGGAATTCAATGCACAAGTTTTTAAAAAATAGATGCATCGTAAAAAATAATAACGATAAGTTTGTTCGATAATTGGAATAAATAAGTTTATATTGATAAATAAATCTTGAAATTATCAAACTAAATAGATATTTTTATAGTCGCACGACATTAAAAAAGAAAATTTGTAGTAAATATTTACACTAAATGAGAATAAAAATTTGTCATCAATTATACATAATCTCAAACAACACATTCTGGAATATACATCCTTTATTATTAAAGTGACCCAGAATTGTTTTTTTGTTTCTTCTAATTGAATGAATATTAATTGATAGTAATCAAACAGACAGTAATAATAATAATAATAATAATAATAATAATAATAAATCGAGAAATATATATAAAATAAATGTAAATTCTATATTTTGAAGTAAAACAATTTAATTAAAGTATGTATAACAAGATATACCATACTTAATGAAACTAGAATATAGCCTAAACGAATTTAAGGAACAAAATCTGTAAATAATATTTTTTCCCTTTTTTTTGAATATTAAATGTTATACATAGGGGGTACACTATCATTGTATAAAGACACGCTATTATATCGCCAAAAGATAAATAAAATTTTTAAGATAAAAAAATTGCAACCATTGTGCCATTGTGTTTTTTTTTTCTTTGTATATATATATATTTAATTATTTCTAAAAAAAAAAGTTATTCATTATTTCGGTTTTTTGGTTTTTTTTTTGATTTTATTTTGAATGAATTTTTTGGTGACGGCGGAGGTTGCTTACAACTGAAAAATGACGCCCGCAACCTTCAACAGGACACTTAAAAGCTAATAAAACAGAATAGAATTAAGTAAGATTGAATTTGGTTTAGTGATTAGATAGTCGAATTGCAAGGGTATAATTAAATAATGATAATAATAATAATACATAATGACATACGTTTTTCTCCGGTATGACTGTATGTATGTGTTTGCAATGAACTTGGGCGTGTAAATCTCTTTTGACAAATATTACACTTGTACCTTTTAGGAGTGGACGATACAGTTTTTGAGTTAAAGGTAGTCATCATGGTTTGAGCAGGAACCGGAGGGGGTCTGTTTGGATTTTGACCATGAAATTGGGGTGGCATAATTCGTGTATCATTTCCATTTTGGTTCTGCATAGTGGTCATTGACATTGGATAATCTTGGGGTGTTGGCGGCATCGTATTACCATAATTTACTTGATGTGGATTATAACCCATCGGCGGAGGAAGACCACCAAAATAGCTCATTGAAGGTTGGACAGTGTTTGAAGGCATTTTCATGGATGGATTGGCGAAAAAAGCAGAATCTAAAGCTCTTTCATCATAACCTCTTGCAGGTTTTGTTGTATAAGAACCGAACGGAAAACTTGCCGGGGCAGAGGTTTCGGATGCAGAAACACGAGTCCAAGTTTCATTTGAACTTTCCGAAGGACCGGGGTCAAGCTTTGAATGTTGAATGGGTACTATTGATATGTTACGGTCTAATTGCAGGGCGGCGGATGATGGCGGATAATGTGATGTGGAATAACTATAAAAAGTAAGGCCAAGTAAATAAGGATATGTCTGGTAATGTGAAAAAGAACCGTCCTGGAATGGATGAGCTTTATGCATGTAAGACATCTGAGATGATCGACCGGCAAAATATCATAACGTATACATACGAAGATGCAGTTGGATAACCTTCTGTGGAATTAATTGAATGCAATTTATGATCACACATGTCGCCGGGATGGAACGAAAGAGAAGAAGCTAGGTGAGGATTATCGGCAATAATTGATCCGTGGGTATGATAATGATGGTTATTGTCGTTGCTGCCGTGATGATCACCAGAATTATGCGAGTCCATTTAGAAGATGAATAGTAAATAATAAAATAATAGCCGGAATTACAAATTAAATTTATTTGAAGATTAGCTATATGCGCGATAACTTATGGAGGATATACCGGAAAGAAATTTTGGATTACTGGATGCTGAAAATGATAAAAAAAATTTATTAGCGATATAGTTATACATGTTAAAAATTTAAATAACAGAGAAAATAATAAGTTGAGAATGTGTTATAAAAGAATGAT